GATGTCCCTTGCTTGTTTCGGCTCCAGTTGGGCTTTGGCTTTTCTAACACTATCCCTACATGCCTGGGCAATATCTTCTTCCCTTTGTAGACAGTTCTCAGTACCACCTCCTGTGTACGTCCTTCTTGTACTGGAATTCGTAACACTTCCTCTGTTTGGTCAAGCCCAGCTGCTGATACATCTGCTTGTTTTCCAGAGTATTGGAATTTACTGTTTGTATGCTTGGAAGCAGGTGTCCTAAAAGACTGGACAATTCTCTTGTGCTCCTTTTGCTTTTCAGAGCTGTGTCCCACAGGATCCTACCTACTGAAAAAGTCAATCTGCTTTTCTAAGTCCAGAGTCTGTACTGAACATTCCTTCCTCACTCCTTTCAGGATTTTGAGCTCCACTATTTCATGGTCACTGCAGTTACGGCTGCCATTGATAATCACATCACCAGCAAGTTCTTCCTTCTTTGTAAGTAGCAGTTCGAGGAGAATATAAAATGGGTTTTGCCCATTTAGCATCAATTGATAAGTTCCGGAAGCCTCCTGGATTTTGTTTTGCTGTTTTGTGCTTCCAATAGATGGCAGTGAGGTTAAGTCTTTAATAAGAGCTAGGCTCTGTGGTCTAGAGATTTTTCTGGAATTGCTGAAGCAGACATCATCTGCTTTCTCACTCCATTCAAGTGATTTGTAACAAACTCCTAGCCCAATGTCACCCTTTGGTGGCCTCTCTTTTGATCCTGATCCCCAGGCTCTCAACCAGCCTGGTGTTCGTTCCACAGAAAAGCTTCCTGTGTTCAAACTGCTCCTTCATGTAAAGGGTAATTTCCTTCTGTTCTTCCCTTTCTGTCTTAAACAACCTGCTGACATCCATCACAAAACTCTGGTCATGTGAACTATTCTACCATATCTCAGTTACATCAGTGTCATAATTCTATATACAGGCACCTGAGGTGGATTCGCTTTCAACCTGTTTTACCTTTCCTAAGGTCTCTTTTGCCTCCCACCAACCTGCCCCATGTCCATACCATTCCTGAATCTCTATTCTTTCACTTAACTACAAGCTGCTACCACCATCACCTCATTGTATACTCAATTTACAGTTCTTGTCACTGCATTGGCAAGCCTAGTGACAAAGATGTTCATAACCTTCTTTGTCAAGCGGATACCGTCTCTCACTTCTCAGTCATCTCATAGAGGGACTCAATAGTCATGAGCAGCACCAGCGCTCCAGCTAGGTTAACTTACAAGACGCGTCCACCCAAGCCTTTCCCCTTTCGTGTGTAGGACTGAGGAGAAGCCCCCTGGAGTCCTGCGTCCTTCTCCTTTGTCCCCAGAGTTTAGCTCTTGATTTGCTCCAGGTCTCCCTTGGCAATAGTGTTGATACCTGTGTGAGCAAGCAACAAGGGGTAATAGTGCAAGGACTAGAGAAGCCTTAGCAGTCTCTCCAGCATGGTGAATCTAGCCAAACCTCCTTTGGCAGCATATCTGGCATCGAATGGGTGTCTCTGTCCCGTGCAGAAGGGGATCTCCAGCTACTGTTACCTGCCACTCCCTCTTGGTGCTCATGCTTTATTCAGGCTCAGCTGGCTCTGACGCCTCCCGTAATGCTTACTGCTTCTGCCTGTCATTCTGATAGTATTTTAGAAACGTTGGCGCTTTGGTTTACCTTCTGTGTAAAAAGGGGAAGGGGTGAGAGATAAAAGTGGAAAATGGCTCTATATGCATTTATTCATTGTGTAGCAAAGAGAATGTGAAACATTAGTCTAGTAAGAATCAGCTGTTGGGAGACATGCAGTAAGGAAGGATTAGAGATTTATAAAAAATATAAGATTTAGAAGGCTCGGGCCAGCCTTTGTATACCTCTATCTCATCAGGTAATGTGCTGTAAGCTTGGTATATAGAAATGATAGCTGAGAATTGTTCTGAGGTTCATACACTTCATTTTGCACTGATATGTTTTATATGCACTCAGATGTGCACAAACATACTACTCGTTTCAAGAGTTTCAAGTTTTGTAACTGAATCTCCTGCCTAGGATAAACTTGTGGCGAGTCACTTCAGGTATTTAGGTTGTGCTGTTAGTCGCTATATATCTGTAATCTGAAGAATATGAAACAATGAGCGCTGTAAACTTCAATCTGGACTGCTTCTTATATGTGACTTTTAAAGCACTTGAAGTAGAGTGCCCTGTGATTGGCAGAATTATTGTAGTTTCCAAGGTCTATGTCTCTGAAAAGCAATATTATGAACTTTGAACAAAATTTTTCTTTCCTATTCCCAGTGTTCTTGCTCCCTTTCTCACTATTCTGCATATGGACAAGAAAACAGTATGTATAAATTCTCTCTGAAATTATACTTAGATTGATAGGCTTGCCTGGTAGTTGAGAGGCAAAAGACAGTCAAAGAATCTAATGCTTCTCAGCTATGACAGAAGAAATAGGTGACTTAAAATAGGTTGATTTTCCTGGACAGTTATTTCTCCTTTTACTTTTGATTGAAATTGTCCAAGAGATTGAAAAGTAATGGTAGGAGAGAAAGAGAAATCAAAGATTAACACATAACATAACTGAAACAAAGTGCAGAGAGAAGAGAATTCACTTGCTGATTTTTGACTCACTTTCTGAACAAATGGAGCTTGTGTAATCAGTCTAGTGTGTGTCAATTCACAATCAGAGAGATTTGTTTTTAGTAGTAGAAATGTGTTTTAACACCGCTAATCCCAAGTATGAATTTTGTTACCAACTACCCACTAGGAAGAAGCAGATCTGATTGTGTTCCTGTTACCTAAACTACTGGAAATCCTGTTGAATTCTCAGCAGTCCCACTTGAAATGCAGTGGAAGGTGTATGTGTATTCTGTAGTCGTCTGTTCTTGAACTTCAGAAGCCGAAGTAACTGTTAGAGATGGTGTTACAGAGCGGAAATACTGTTTCAGTCACTACAGTGATTAATTCTTACTTCAGAATTAAGGGTTTTAATTTCCCAGGTTACAGATTTGAAGCTTATATTAAAGCAGCATTTTAATTTATTTCATCAATCTCTGAGCTGCATTTGACGTCATCTCACTTTCTTAATATAAGAAAATCAAAATATGGTAATACAATTTAGTAACAAACTTAAACATTGTGTTACTGTCTTCTAATGAAGTTATGGAAGAGAGAGGGGAAAAAAAAGGAGTATAGATCTATCTGTTAAACAGATAAGGAATTCAAGTTCTTTGCTACTGTGCTTTCTGGAAACCTGAAAGTACTGCAAGCTGTACTCTGAATCCACCAATTTCTGGAGTTGATGGCTAGTAATAATATTTTGTTTATGTATACAAAACTGATCAAATTTTAAGGATTACACTGTAATATATTTCAGTCTTCATTTGGCCTTTTAAGAGGTTCAGAATGGCTGGTTTACACTTGGAAATCTGAAGGAATCCTTTTGGAAGGGGATGGCAGCTGCATCAAGTCACCCAGGATTCACTGAGATAGTTAGGAAACGGTAATAATTCAACACAGTAGCAGACAAATTAGCTGTTCAGCTATTTTGTTGGTGATCAAAACAGATTGATGCATGCGTATGTTGGAATCATCTTTCAAAAGATGTACATGGGTTGATAAGAAATATTATACATAAATCTTTTCACTACTTCAATTTGAAGTTTTTCCTAGAACAAAAGCAAGGCTGTGTAAACTAATACCATAAATGGTAAGAAGTGAAATAATCCTATCTAATTAGTAATTTCGTATATATGCAATCACTATGAAGCTTTTTCTTGGAGGTTTCTGTCTGGAATTTAGTATGTGACACATACTTTCTCTTGTCAGATGAGTGTGACTTTTTTGTTTTATTGTTTTTAAAGATCCTTTTGCTTCAACATCAGGGAAAAAAAAATCTCAAATACTTGATGCAGAGCAAAACTTAAAGGAAAATGATTGATACTGCAGTCTGAGCTACTGCAGAAGTGCACTAGAGCTAGGGAGAAGTACAAGCTGGAGGATAGTAACTTGAACTAGTGCAGAAGTGCAAGTTAGATAAGTGAGCCATTTATGGTAACTTTTTAGTTGTATTATATCTGAGATTGCATCTACAGAGACCCTAAACAGATGCATCTTATTCTTATTGGCCACTCTTCTTGTGGCTCTTGTAACCTACTGTGGCTGTAGTAATGTCTGTGCGACTGTGTAGCTATAATGGGCAGCAGCCTACATATGTAAAATTACAGTGGAAAATCTCATCCAGAGAGGTGGACAAAACAGTGGATTTACATATATCAAACTTGTTTCCATTAGGAAACACATGCAAAGGAACATTCTGCTTTCCATTTCTTGATCATGGTATGTGGGTCTATATACATTTTATGAGGGAAGCCTATGTGCATTGTAAAATACGAGGGAAAACTTGCTTCAGGCCTTTTAAGCAAGTCTGTAAGTTCTGTTGAGTTATTATGTAGATTCTTTTTTAGGACTGAATTGAGTAAAATCAGTTGTTTGGAAGCATGTTTTCATTTGAGTAAACTGTTCAAATAAGGATTACACAGCCATTATTTGAGGATGAGGTTAAGCAGATAGGGCTGGCAAATTTAAAAACTCGTTAGGATTTTTGGAAAAGGCTCGTTTGTCCACTCTTTATAGATAAAACAGTCCCTGTACTTCAGAATGGCCTAACTTAGTTGGATGTAACCCAAGACTTGTTGACAGTAGTTCTGTCAACCCTGGCTGACATTATGAATATGTTTCATGCCCTCTTTTTGGTAAAAAGAGGAAGTGGTGATAAGTGGCTGTTGTTTGTATGTATATACATGCACATATATATTTATATATTTGTGTATGTGTGCACTTTCTATGGGAGTTGGATTGCATAAAAATATACGCTATGACCGTTTGGATAATCTATGCAGTTACTGTCTCACAGAGGCTAGATTTAGGTATTGCTTTCTGGAAAGGACATACTGATCGTATAATAGAACGTTTATTGTGAAAAGTGCTTTTGAAGTATTTTAAAACATTAAAATAAATTTTTATAGGGCTAACAAGAAGCTTGAGTATAACTTCAGCTGACCAGTCAACGTTCGAAAAAGCTCAAGGAGAGAAGGTTACGCTGCCATGTACTTTTGTACTCTCCGAAGAGGATGAAGGCCCACTAGATATCGAGTGGGTCTTGATACCAGCCGATAATCAAAAGAAGGAACAAATAGTAAGTAGAGACTTTTTTGGAGATGCTTCTAATTCAGTTGTTAGAGTAGGTCAATGTGTATGCACTTTCTTACTGACCTGTAATTTTTTTTTGTTTGTGTTTTTTTTTTACTTTCACCTTTTCAAGATGAGATGTTTGTGATCTTAAATTACTTTGAAGCACCAGTCATGTGAAATACAGTGGAAGCTTTGGAATAACAGAGATTAAGTATTAAATGTCAAAAAAATCTCTCACTGTGAACTTGTTTCTCTCTAAGGAAGAACCCCAAAATTAAAGATGTTTCAGTTACAGAAAACTAACTGTGCTGTGGTACCCATACTGTTTTCCTGACTGAAAGCTGATTCATGAAAATTTGATTTTAAACATAACCTTTTTCATATTCCTTTGTTTGGAAGCCTCATCCATAAGACAAGGTGACTCCTTCAGTAGAGAGGTTTTACAGAAGGAATGCTAGAACAATTTTGAATAGTTTTCCTTAACCCAGAAGTTAGTGTTTGCATACTGCTACTGTTTAGGCATGTGTTTAGTCAGAATGCATGTTGCAGTACTGTTTATGGTGATGTTTTATAGAATGAGATATTTGGTTATGTCATGCTTCTGGGATTATTTAAAATAGTAGGAAGAAACCATCAAGAATGTGAGTAAACAGAATTGTTACTTCAAATATTTACATGCCAGGTGGATTTCTGAATCTTATTTCTGTTTTTATAGATAATTATGTATGCTGTAGACAGGATCTACAATCATTATTATGCTGCTATGACTGGACGGATGCAGTTTACTAATCCTGATCCCAGATCTGGTGATGGTTCTTTGGATATCCTGAATTTAAAATCAGCGGACACTGGCACATACCAGTGTAAAGTGAAGAAGGCTCCTGGAGTTCAAAGCCAAAAAATACAATTGACTGTACTTGGTAAGAAAATGGTGTTATTGAATTTTCAGTGACGTTTATATGCACTCATGTTATCCTGGATGTGATATATAAAATGAAAAATTCTGTAGGACAAAGTCATAGATCATAGCTATACAGTGATGTATCCGTTTGTGAGACGTTTCTTGGGGAGAAAAGCCCCATTTTGTTTTGGGGAATTAAAGGAAGAATAATCAAAATAACGAGCATTTTCTTGTTTATTTGTCTTGTTCTGCTTTTAAGTTTAGGTCTGGCTTGTATTTCAAAGAAACTCTTTCTGGGCATAGAAGGAGTTAAGTGCCTAAGCTTGACTTCATCTTTAGCTAAATAGATTTACCACTTAGAACAGTAAACATTTGGATTGTGACTGTTATTAATTAACTGATATTTTGTTTATTAGTAAAACCAGCAAGGACTAAATGCTCCATTGAAGGATCACAGGAGATTGGAAACGATGTTATCTTGAAATGCGCATCGCAAGAGGGATCCCCACTTTTGTCTTATGACTGGAGAAGAGTAGTTGGCACAAAACAGCTTCCTGTCACTTCTATGCTGAGTATTGTCTAACTTTATTTATTATTCTGAAATACTTAAGAGTATATTCATATTTTTGGTTCATTGTTACTTGTGAGCCTCTCTTGCTTAGTTTTAGCATGGAGTAGCCAAGATGCGTGTCACTTCTGCTCTCTATCTTTTCACTGGATAATATAGCGGACATTTGAGACAAAGTTCTGTGTGTGTGGGTGGGTGTTTTTTTTTTTTTTTCTTCTTTCCAAAAAAAGATTCACTGCAAGAATTGTGTAAAGCTTTAAGTTGGGATTGATTCTTAGCATTAGGCTCCAGAATCATTCTCATTCCTGCATGGATGTTGTGGCTTCTCTTGCTTGCTGATCTTTGGCTGCTTTTCTGCCCAGTTGAACAGTGGGGAAGAGTCAGAAAAGATTCTAACCACTGGTCTAGAGCTACCTTCAGGAAAGGCATACAGAGGAGAGAGTCAACTGAAGTCTTCACTTCCTGGGCAAGTGACTGAACTTGTAGCTTAAGATGGGTGCATCTCTTTGGAGCAAAAGTTGTCACAGGTAAAAGAGAAGAGAAGGCTTATCCTGCTCTTGAATGAGCTAACATCCAGGAAGTGGTTCTATGTTAGGAATTTGGAGCGATGGATTCCACATTATTGTGGTGGTTGTGTTGGATTCTCGTGTGAGAACTTCTCAGAAGCTTAATTTGTGAGTTTTGGTTTTGTGAAAGTTTTTCTGAAATGGTACTTCTCAGTACCAGTTCTTTTGGATCATCTTTGTAGTTATAAAAACCTTAACCACCGAGATGTGGATTTATCTTGCAGATCGAGCAGTTTAAAAATCTGCTTACAGGTAGACACGTTAACTCAGATTGTGTACAGCATATAGGGCTGAGTGTATAACATGGTATTGTGACTCTAAGTATAGCCAAAGTGGATGTCTATGGGAAAGAGAATAAGAATTTGTGTGGTGCTTCCTCACAGTGGTCTCCTGTTCTTCCAAAATTTTTACCTCGGGAAATTATTGAGGCAGAGGAGGTTTGCTTTGGTTTGATCTTTAAAAAAAAAAAAAAAAAAATCCCACTTCTTACCTCTGTGAACGTCCCCATTCTCCTTTAAACTTTTGTAAGTTATTAGTATCGGTAATATTACATACATCTCTGAAGTTTAGCTACATGTTTGAAGAACCTAATACTGTTCTTCATTTTGAACCTTCTTCCTGGTAGTACCATTTGATACCCCGTTTCTTGTTTTGGTGGTGAATGCTTGATATCTGATGTCCTTCTCTATGCCACTCAAGATTTTAGGCTTAATGTGCTCCTCTTCCTTCTCTACATCCCAAATTTATCTTACAGTAAATAAAAACCGATTGATGATATTAGTGCTGGACAAAAGTGAGTGAGAAAGTATGCATGTGGTGTGTAACCAGATATAGCTGTGTTTGTTTTGGGACTCCCAAGAGTATAGAGTTTATCTAATTAAAACATCCGATAAGTATCTCCCTCCTTGTGCAGCTGAAGGAGGTGTAGTATCTTACAGCTTTGGCCTTTCCAGTGTTGATGGCAAAGCTATTGGCAATTTAAGTATGTGAGCCATTTGAAGTTCACGTAGTAAAACCTTACAGAGGTAGCTGCCAATGGTTTTGGAAGCCCTAGTGAAATATTTTCCCTGTCACTGTTTCATATTTCCTAGACTGCCAGTATAGCTAGACTTAAATGGTCACTTGGAGTATGATATCTAGGTTGAATCTGTTTGTAATTTTTGGACCTGATTTCTTCATATGTCTACATCTGAGCTGGTTGTATAGGATCAGTTTAGACACAGTGAATGGAAAGGGTACCTTTAGGATGCAATTAATATTTTGTATTTTAGAATTCTGTTAGGGTGAGAGAATCAGCCCTTTTAAGTATCCATTCCTTTCCATTGATAGAGCAACTTGTTTGTAAGCTTAATATTAAGTCAAATGCTATGGAACAAACTTTTAATAAGATAAAAGGCTTTTACAAAAAGTGGTATTTTACAGCATGGCAGACTTCTGTTTTTGTTTGGATATTATTTTTAATAAGGTATTTTGCTGGATTAATGATTCTGTTGTATTCAACGTGAAATTTAACCTTTGGAAAATGATAAACCTTTTGTCTTTTTTTTTTTTTTTGTAGATAAGAATACAGGAGAACTTCTCTTGAAAAATGCCTCTCAAGACTATTCTGGTACATACAGTTGTGTTGCCTCAAACAGAGTTGGCACAGATGAATGTTTTGTTGAGCTGAATGTCACCCCTCGTAAGTGTTTGCTGTGTAACAGTCACATGTTGTTTATGTCTTAAATAACTAAATCTTGTTTCTCTAAGCTCCTAAAAGAAAGAAACCCCACTGTGCAACTGATGGTTGCCACTTTGTCTCAACTTCCCAGATACTGGGGGGTGTTGAAGCCTCCTTCTATGAATCAGTGATACTGTTAGTCTGGAACATAAGGAAACAAGCTGTTTTTAAAGTTGAGCTAAAAGAAAAGAATTATCTAGTACAAATCTGAACTTTAACAACCAATATTGTAATTTATCTATTCTAGCTATAAATACAGCTGGTATAATTGCTGGAGCTATTGTAGGAACTCTGCTGGGTCTCTTTTTACTGGCTTTTCTCGTCTTCTGTTGCTGTAAGAAACATAGAGAGAAGAAATATGAGAAAGAAGTGCATCATGATATTAGGTAATGACATATCTCTAACTTCTGAGCAGTACTATTTGAAAATTAACTTTTAAATGTATCTTTTTGTATGCGAGATACTCATGGTTGAGAATTCTGTATTTAATTTGGAAAGCCAGTTAACGTGTTAACAGCTGGTCTGAGAACCTTTTTGTTTTGAATATTGTATAGATAGTCATGTGTATCTAATATTTCAGTAAAAATTTTGAAGATGATGAATTTTTGAATATTTTTGAACTTAAAGTAATAAATTAGCTTTTTCTGGCTGCTATATCAGAATAGGGAGAAAGAAACTGAAAGCTCGTTTTGTAAGCACCCAAACAATGATATTGACTGAAATATTGTTGAGTTCTCCAATTTTTTTTTTCTCCCTCCTCCAGAGAAGATGTTCCACCTCCAAAAAGTCGCAGTTCAACAGCCCGCAGCTACATAGGCAGCAATCGTTCTTCTCTGGGTTCAATGTCTCCCTCCAATATGGAAGGATATACCAAAACTCCGTATAGCCAAGTACCAAGTGAAGACTTTGAACGTACTACTGGTCAAAATCCAAATTTTGCACCTTCAAAGGTAGCTGCACCTAATTTAAGTAGAATGGGAGCTGTCCCTGTGATGATTCCAGCACAAAGCAAAGATGGGTCCATAGTATAAAATGTTATTAATTTAAGTCCTGTTTTCAAATGTTCATTATAAGTATTAGAAAAAAACTGCCTTGTTCCAACCCTCGTCTAAACAATGGCATGCAATTTTCCTTGAAGAAAATGAACAAGTTAGTTTGAAAAGCCATTAGTTTTCATTTTAAATTTCAAACTTATGTATATAACAGTCAAGCTACTTGCTAAAAGCATTGAAGTTCCTATATAAATATTGGATACAAAGTATTTGGACTCAGGTTGCTGAAGAGACAGGATCAGCTAGTATGCAGTTCCGAATATGAAACAACAAGACACACCTGAGAAGTAACAAAAGCGTTTCGTATGTAGGTCATGAAGTTCCTCGGAGTCCCTGAAACTTTATCTTCAGTTTTGGAATAAAAGAAATATTTTTAACTTCACCCTTTTCTAATGAAGTTGGAGCTGGTTGAAATACTTAGAATGACTTGAAATTCTGTTCAGTTTCTGAGTATTTATACAGTTCTTTAACTTGATAATATTTGGAGCACTTCTTGAGCCCTTATTTCAGGGGCTGCCAGTTCTTTGACTGGTTCAGTTAACTTTAAGGAGTCTGTTCTGAGTTTAAAATTTCAGTGAATAGAAATATGAGAGGAGACCTTGCAAGCTCTTTGAAACCTGAATTTTAGTGTAAGAGCAACTAGTTCTAGTCATGTCAGATAACTTAATACTAACGTTATCTGGTGTCAGAGGTCCTATCTGGTTGTTACTACCAGTATCTAAGCTTTAAAGTGTGTATTTTATTGTCACATTAAGTATGAATATGTATCTCAATACAGGTTTTAAAAAGCAAGATACTGTTGACTTTCCTAAAGCCTGTATAGATTCTAAAGCAGTGCTCTTGCTTTTTCCAAACAATTATCTGGAGGCTCCATGGGCATTTGAATGAAAGATGTTAAGTAAACAGTGTTTGATATATATCCTCTTATCTAACATCACTTCAGAAAATCTTTTCCCACATTCATACAAGCAGTATGTAGCTTTTCCTTAAGACACTAATATATTCTTTATCTGAGCTTGCAAGGAGTTAGAATTTGGCCCCCCTTGCCTCTTCAAAAGCCCTGAATATTAACGGACGCTTTGACTTTAATGTTAGTTTCAGGTGACCAGAGTCTCGGAGAAAGTAGTTGTCCAGAACTGTTGGTATGAACTTCATGTTTCAAGACTTCATTAAAAAACAAACAAAAAGTTCCTCCCAGTTTTGAAAAACTTAGTGTTACAGGAGGAATAGAATGATTCCTTATCTTAGTTTCACGATGGCTTCGGTTGACTGATACCATAGACATATGGAAATTGAATTTTAAAGTATAGTGCAGGTTGAATCTCTGTGGATTTTTTTTCTTCTCTTCCTTCCTATTTTCGGCTCACCTCCTCATCCTGTCCTGTGGAAAAATAAAAATAAAGCGCCCCTTCAACTTATTTCAGCTGTAGATGTTAAACTGCCAAGTATTTTGGAAAACTCATTCAGGGAATATAGTATGTGGCACTGATGTTGATGAAGGAAATAACTGAATAACGTATTGAAAGGTGTTGAATTTATTTGTATGTATCAACAGTGAGATGAAAAAATTGCCCCAAACTTACAGGTTCCATGTCTGCTTTCTTGTAGCTGCTTAGATCTGTGACAAAATCTTTGGCATATTACTAAATGTTCGTTCTAGCCCTAGCTAGGTGCACAGTTTTTGGCTGGCCCTACTGATGTAGGGAACATACCTTTCATACCGAATTTAGAGACTTGAATGGCTACTGAGTATTCTAGACTTACAACTTTTCACATTTGGAACTTTTTTAGATTGTAAACTGATACTGTTAGAGTTAAGATATTTTTATCTTTCATGTGTGCCTTTTCAATAAACTTTGCCTGATTGTAACTCCAGTTTTTATGAAATTTCTGGTGCCTAAATTTACTGTCTGGACAGGTGCTTAGACGATGGTACAGGTTTTTAAAACATTACACTGTGATCTGATTTCTTTATTCTTATGTACTGTTTGTACCTCTTCATGCTAATTTTTGGATGTGACTTCAGTGGCTCTCTATGTCATTCTGTACTTCAAAATGTCAGTTACTCCTTCAATTTCTAAATAGGATCTAAGTGTTTATTCCTGAAAACTGTTCACTTGTACTTTTACTTGTGTGGGAAATAACAGGGTTTTGTAACTGTGCCAAACACATGCTTATGAAGAACAACAGTAGATGAGGAGACATCTTCTTGCATCCAATTAAGATAGAAGAGATTTCTGAGATTTAATATATACTGATTGATTGTTTACCTTGAAACTAAGACCTTCCTTAATTGAAAAGGTGTGGTTATTTGGATCGTAAATACAGGTTATATATAAAACTAGAACTGAATCACAGACCAAGAGATAACTATAGACCTAAGTAACAAACCTACTGAGGAAGGCTGTTTGTTTTAATCCATCTGTGGGCCTACGTAAAATGAGCTTTTTGGTTTGGCCTGAGACCCTGTGCTTTCTGTAAGGTAAGCACTAAGATGCTCAAGAACAGAAGTTTATCACAGTAAAGCAGGCAGAGCAGAGTTTACGCATTTAATGCTCTGTCAGCTTGCACAAAATAATAAGTGGACAGAGTGGAAGGGCAGCATGATGTGCCCTCAGAACCTAGCTGTTGGGCTTAGCAGCTTTGACAGTGTCTGTCTATTTATGTAATTGCATGGAAAATAAGGAAATAGGAACTGGCATAGTCCTTATCTGAAATAAAGAACTTCTGACTTGGGATAAACTTTGCCTCAAGTTCCTAACATCATGCCTTTTTGAATGGATAAAACTACTATGAAAACCATAATACTGCTATTGGGAGCAATTTTAGTGAGTAGAGTGTTAACTTGCACTGCATTATGATTCTCAAAGCAGATACTGTAGTTTAACAATGATTTCTAGCTACGTAGAAGATAAAATGGGTAAACACTTGAAGTGTCAGATCTTATGTAACCCTGCTAGCAGAACTCTTCTAGGAAGTAATGGCAGCTGATATACCAGTTAGAAGGTGGCATTTAAAATGTCTTATTTTATAAAAGAAATAAAGGGAGGAAGTGATACCATTATGTAAATACTCTAAATGAACTGAAGAAACAGTAGTTAGTGTTATGACTGTAAATTTGCCTGTTGAGGACTACTGTGTATAGAAGAAAACCCTTAATTTTAGCATGGTGTGAATAAAGTGTTAGACTTGTTAGTATTGTAGAGGTGATGTAACATTTGTCCATACAGTACAAGCCTCTTCATAAACTTTCTGAAATGGATATTTAAAGGTATTGGTGTAAACCCTCCTTACCTAAAAATGAGTACTTCTTACTAAAGTATATAGTGCACAGAAATGCCTTGTTGGAGGGGGTCAAAATGTTTTTTTGGGGGAAAAAAAAAAGTACAATGCCTACATCTCTATCCACTGTGATAGTTACATTCATATTAGATGTATGCTTCCTGCATAATAGTACAAAAAAGAGACTTTTAAATATAATTGCAGGTTTTTCTGTAATAAAATTGTGTATTATTTTTTTCCATAATAGGCTTTTGTTTCTAGCCATGTGTATTTCGGATCACTTAGATCTCTCTTCCAGTCAGAAGTCATCATAAAACTATAAGTTTAAGCCTTGTTTTATACAGTTCATAGGTGCTTTAATGGGACCCTTTGGGCTTTGGTCCTCAAGCACTGAGACACAGCTCAACTGAAATTGGAGCAATAATATTTCCTGGGATCCAAAATGTTATGATGTTATGTTGCATTTCTCATGTACAAAGCATGAGACAAATATTGGTGTGAATTTCAGTATGAGGTTTTATATTCACATTTGGGAGGGAGGGTATTTTAAAATACAAGTATTGCAATTTATAGGAGTGGATTTGGAAGAAAAAAAACTTCCAAAATTTTAAGATGCTGTAGTTCTGTGACAGACTTGTGTACTTTTTGAAATAAAACTGTTAGAGAAAGCAATAGTCTGTCTTTATTCTCAAGCAGCTTTTATGTATGGCTTCAGTTTTTTCTTTCTGTAATTGGAAGTTTATTAATAAATATAGCTGTGTATACCACACTGGCATTAATCACTTTATTTCTTGCTTTTTCTATCCTTTTCTAGGAAGGAAAAGGAAGTAAAACTTCGGATATTTTAAGTCCTTCTTTAGGAATATGCATACACCTAGTGTTAAGTTTCTATCTGTAGGTACACAGATGTAGTGATCCATTTTAAAATTATATCTAGACAATCTCAGCAGAAATCCTAAAACATAGGGCTGGATAGGAACTTATGTCAAAGGAACTATGACTTATATCATTTTGTTTCTGTTTTAGGTAGAATAAGGTATCCTTGGCCCTGATAAATATTTTTTTATTTTAAAATTCAAACAATGTTTACAGCATTCAAAGCATATTGATTTTAAAAACTCTTATTTTTATGCTATCAGCCAACTTGATCTTTTTTGATTCAGATTAAGCTGACTCTTGGGATACTCCCTGCTCCTTGGCCTTGCAAACCAACTTATTACTGTCCTTGTAATTTTATCTATGCTGAAGTCAATTTCTCCAGTGTACTTCTTGAACACTTGCTTAGTTTTATGGAAAAAAATCTGGGACAGGCTCTGGTTTTAACGATATGTATTTATGCTTAAGCTGTTGGAGGACTAAGTAGCTTAGGTTTATTCTTAATATATTCATATGGTAATGCATACCTGTGCTATGCCAGATGTTTCAGTCATTACTTCATGCATACTTAGGAAGTCTATGTTTAATACCTGTACATGCAAGCAATTTAAAGTTAAATAGTAAGAGTACTAGTGGGGAAAAAACTTTTTTTCTCAAATTCACATTTGTGCCTAAGTACAAAAGGCAATTTAATAAAAATGAAGGTTCACATTGTCTCCTTATTGGTGGAGCTCTTAGAAGCCTTTCTACATCCTTTTAACGTTAACTTCAAGACTTCTGTGCTTTCCTCCGTTGGCAGTTTTGCCACAAATGGAATGTTCATGCCTCGGCTGCTCCAGCTCTTTCATTTAGAGATAAGATGGTGTCTAAATTGGAGAAGGTGGGGGGCCCACACACATCTGTTGGTATGCAACCACTGGCAAGAGGCTGAATGAATGACTGGGGCAGTACAGCTCTAGACTGCAGCGAAGTTTGCACTAGCTTGTCTATGGGAATTCCAACAAATCAACTAATGCTTTCTTGATGTCCTCTCCTCTTACAGGATATTTCCATATGGTAGTTCTACAAAATCTTGTTGGTCCTTACAGATGTTTCAGATAACGTAGTGTGTTGGATAAATCTATTTTTAAAAGTCTTCATCACTGGCTCTTCTCTGAACATCTTGGACCTACTGTGTGCTTTGAGCTTACTGTTTCACCTCAGATTGAGAGGTTTTGGTTCTTTCAAGCTCTATAGTAATGCTTGTAACTAACTAGTTATTAGGCTGCTTTAGGAAACACTGCCAGCCACTTAGCCTTGCTTTCTGGTTTGTGAAATCCACAAAATGAAACCAAAACAGCTTGTGAAGAAAACAGCTAATTAAGGAGCAAAAGCAAGAATTGAATGAAAGGGCCTATGAATGGTGTTTACATTTCCAAGTCTGAACTTGTTTTATTTATTTGCTTATTGTTTAAAAAGCTTGTTTTTGTGAAATAGTACAGGTTTGGATATCAGGAGAAGAATGTCAGCTTTTGCTTCTGTAAAAGCTGACATGGCAGCTAAAAACAACTGTGGCAAAGAACTGGCTAGGAGATTTCTTTGCCTCTGCCTCTGACTTGGCTCAGTGAAGCTTCTGAAAACAGGGATCTTTTAGCACTTTTTCCACGCTGTGAGTCAATGTCAGTGCCACCTTCGTGTGGGGAGTTCTGAAGATGTAAGTCTTCAGCTGTCTAGGACTGGTGAGGTTACTTTTGAACAGCAAAGTTAATAAAATTCAGTAGCAGCAACTGTTAGCTGGGTCCATCTTATTAGTGAATCGGCATAGACATAAAAATCTTGGAGTTTTTTAGATATCATTGACCAGATAAAAGGACATGTCTACCATATCATGCAGAAAATATTAAGAAAGTTTTGCAAGTCATCTGTGAGCTTTGTGTACTGTCAGGATTATTAGATTGTGGTAGGGAGAGGGGTAACTTGGAAAAAAATGAATAAGTTGGTTACACAACTTGATTATGTAATGATTTTAAAACGTAGCAATATTGGAATAGACGTTAACATCTGAAAGCACATCATTTTACCTTCAGTCATTTCATTTTCTCTTCAGGGAAAAAACCTCTTGAGGCAGTATGTCCACTGGGAAACTCAGAGTACTATGTGATGCAATGACAGTTGTTCTGCTTCTCAGGGCTAGAAGCTTTGGTTCTGTTAAGTTTTAGAAAGGCAAGATAAAAGTTTAGTGTTGTAGCTGAAGGGTATTGAACTTTTTTCTAGGCGCTCTTTTCCAAATTGCGAAAGGAGGAGAAGGAAAACAGTGGATTTGACTTTTTTGTGGGGCATTTTAGAGGAGGAACCCGAATTCTGGAAACACAAGGCTTACCTTCAAGAAACTGAATGGTTTCTTTCAAATTCTGGTTTCCAGCAACATTTGATTTGTAGTGATTTTGATTTTGTTGTTATTACTTTGTTTTTATTTTCCCAGACAATCTGTAAAAGCTTTTCCCTTTTGAAGCTGCTTATAGAGCTAGCACACCCTCATTGCTTGAGAATGCAGCATCCTATACTCGTCATATCATGAATAATTTCCACATGTGATGTCTCTGGTCATATTATTGCTGACAATACTGTGTAAAGAAACAGAATCAGAAATTGTAAGAATTGCAATAGATTAAAGTCTCCAGAACCCCCCATGCAGTGCAAGCAGTGACAGCACAAGCTTCTCAGTGCTCTTGGCCCAG